TAAAATTTATTAATGCCGAGAATATAGTGCACAGACGATTTACGTAATAAACATATAAATAGTATGAGATGAGCGGGAAAAGTAGACAGACAGATAAAGACAGAGCAGACGAGAAGTGAAGTAAAGTTACAAGAAGGAATTAGGCCAAAGAAAAGTTAATCGTCGTAGGAGTGAAAGGCCTAAGGATTAATATAGGCCTAACGGTTGATATGTTAGAATGAGACTAATGGCGTTGAAAGATATAAGAAAAATAGTTTATTTCGTCAAGGAGAGTTCTAAAGTAATTGAACTAGCCTTGGTGGACTTTGACAAATAGATAGACGATTCTCGGAAATACAAAGAGAGAGAGAAAAAGGAGCAGACGATTTTAGAAGTATAGGATACAACCATGGTAACTTGACCATAAAGTAAGTGAACTAAAGCAATTAAATAGGCCTAAGTGGACAATTGACAACAAGAAGAGAACTATATAACGTTTGTGATATGCCTATGGTCTCTATAGTGTAAATAATTTGTTGTACATACGTTTAACTGGTTTCAAATGTATATGTTATTTTGAAAACAAGTGGAGTGAGTCTGTTCGTTATTTTTAAATTTATTGCCAACAAATCACAGACACCCACTGTAGAAGAATCCTAAGCCCAACAATAACAAAAACACCAACACAGTATAAATTTATTTACACTACTAAGAAGCATAAGTAATAACCTTTATTGACAATTGGCGAATATAACTTAAATTCCGACAGTTTGTTTAGCTGTTGTTTTAATTGGAGTTAGCTACCTGGGATCTCTCTGTCCACCATGAGGAATCTAACCCAAGATTTTAGCGTTGGAAGTCCGTATACTTACCGTTGACTCACAGGTGGACATAACCTACTCAACCCTCTGTATGTCATTGATTTGAAGATAACTCGAATAAATTAAAATCGAGCTTTTATGATTAAAAAAGAACAACTCAGAATCAATGCTAACTAAGTTTATTACCTCTACCAATAGTTCTACAGACTACCCTGATAAATAAAACGAACATTTTGAACCCCAGGTTGCTATTTTTCACACTGACCAATATTATATGGTTAATGTATATCCAGACCGCAGCTTCTCATAAATCACGTGACTCAAAAATGGTTTGCTGTCATCTAATCCAGGGATTCCCAACCTTTTTGTTCCTCTGTACTTCTTGGCCTTGGGCATTCTGACAAGTTCCCATGTACCCCTAAAAAATAAGGATCAAAAATTGATAAAATTATATTGATTTTATATTATTTTATTATGAAATCTGTATGTGTGGACTGCATAAGGATCTTATAGTATTGATAACATCGATAAATTGAACTCGGCGTATATTTATGTGAGCCACTTTGCTCTCTTTGTCTGACTGTAGATTAAAACACCATGTAAAGTGTAAACCATGGTTATACTCTCAGACCCCTATGTACCCCAGGTTGGGAATGTCTGTTCTACAGCAATTCCTGTACGCTGAATCCGAAAATTACATCCACTTTTCTCCATCACGTACAAATTTTTTCACAGAACGTCGTATGTACTTTTACATAAGTGAATCATTTTCATTGAAATCAGGTCATATTTTGTTATGCTTAAAATGTTGACAACCACAGGCTATAGATTTCTTTAGACCAATCACTACTTGAGAGTCTTATCGATCGTTCTAGAACCCAAACATGATAATAAAAAATATTCATTGTGGTAAACGAAATAATAATTTGATCTAAGTAAGAGTTTTTTTCTCCCCGATTTGTAAAAAATCTTTACGTGGTAGAAAAAGGTGAATATTATTTTCGAAATCTGCGTAGTTGAATTATGGAAAATCCGTTATTAAAACCAAAATAACTTTTATGAAGTTTAAATTCGCAGGCCTGTGTTATCAGAACTAAGTAGAGCCTCAACGATATTTTCAAGGCCTATAAAAACTTTGTATTTCAGGACTTCTTACTACATTTAAGAGAACAGTTAAATGGAGAAACCGGTTTGGTTAGTGATAATTACTAAAGCTAAGCAAAACTTCATTTCCAGTTTCAGAAACCAAAACAAAGAAAAAATCAACCTGAGAAATTATGTGTTAAGGCACGTGTTATGACGTTTTGTTTGATTGGTTATTCCAATATCTATAATCATTTTTTGCTCGACATTACGTGTGTAATTTTGATTGTTTTCTTTCGATAGATGTGGTGGCCTCTTTTGACCCTTTTTCTGGTGGGGCAAACGTCACATGCCCGTAAGTAAATTCTTTATCTAATAACCACTGTGATTTTTTTTTCATTTATGTTACATAGGCACCTGAAACTAAACAAATTGTATTTTCCAGCAACTGGTGTTATACGTTTGACGTAATGAAGGAAGAATGTTTCTTTTTCTTTGTTGTCAAAAGTTATTCAGATGTATCTATTTATCATTCAGACAATTCTAGTCCCAACATGTATGATACTTTTGTCAGTCTAACAACTGAGTAGCCGCATAAGTCTTTCTGTAATACTGTCAAGAGGTAACAAGCATGCATTTAACAAGTATATCCCATCTCTATGTAATTTTTCAGACTCTGTAACCACAAGAGACGTCACAGATATGAAACTGGTATGTTATTATACAAACTGGTCAGTCTATAGGCCAGGGTTAGCAAAGTTCACGCCAGAAAATATCAATCCATTCCTGTGTACCCACCTAATCTACGCCTTCGCTGGCTTTGGCAAGGACTACGAGCTTAAGCCTCTCGATTCATACAACGATATTGAACAAGGTGAGAAAAAAGCTGATCATTGCATAATCTATTCGTATTTTTTAAATATTTCTATTCATTAAGTGCTTCTTTTTTCAGGTTTGTATGTAAAGAAAATAACAGTTGGATACAAGTTTGGAAGGGAACATCATTCGATTTGCCAAATACGTAAAAGTCCACTTCCCATAATTTATATATTATATTTATAAGTAAATTAAAAAGTTTGTTACTGTTGAAGATTCTTTGGATGCACTAAATAATTATTTTCCAAAAGTGGCATCCTTATAATTTATTCTTATTACTGTGACGTAACCCATCAGCAGGATTTTGGGCTGAGTAATCAGATATCACTGTAGCGTTGTTGGTTTGTTTTATCACATTAATTACTTTTATATATAGAAAAAGACATACTTTTTCACACTTAACAGACATATTTCACATATTATAATGACTTGCCATTTGAAACTTCTCTACTTTAAACATGATCTGTGATTTATTTTCATATCTTCACTTTTTTATATGCTTATGTATAAAATATCCAAATCATTTATTGTCTGATTATTAGTGTGATTTCACTTAAAAACGTCTTTTTTATGTTAAAACGTAGAAACGATTCGATTAAAATATATAAGTAATAATAACACAAGTTCAAAGTTTACTGCACTAAATACTTCACTGAAGTTACTATAGAAATAAAATTAGCAAAAATGATGTTGGAAAAAGTGACGTTATATAATTGTTTTTATAAACAAACAAAACAACTTGAAAATATCTCAGTTTGATTGCATTTATGACATTTTAATTTTACCTCTTATCTGATATCACTTAACAATAATTGTGTTAAAGAAAAATCGTATATTTATGCAAATATCAAGACGAGTTGTACGTGATGCGTCGAACCTGAAATTTTTGATTTAATTTTGTATTTTCATATAATACTGACTATTGAGGCCATATTCATGATTTAAAATGGTCGATTTTTCACAGGAGTCCAAGAAAGTATATCATTCCTGACACGTCTCTCTTACAAATTTGCAAAATAAACTTTAGATATATGTACGACTTGCATATAATAAATTTTAATGTATAATTCAGCAGGCAATTGTACAATTTATTTTTCTATTCACTGTTATCTGAGCCTGATTTGGCCTAGTGGTTAGCCTGCCCGGCCCGTGAATCCGAGGATGCATGGTTCGCGTCTCGTTACCACAAAAAATATACTCTGTACTTTGGGGCCGTGGACACACTATAAACATGACGGTCAAATATCACTCTTCGGTCAGATAAGAGTAGTTCAAGAGTTAATGGTGAGTGCTGTTGATTAGCTGTCTTCCCTTTAGTCTACCACTTCGACATCGGGGATGCCTATGCTCGTACAGTCTTTTGTGTAGCTTTGTGCAAAAATTTTGAAACGGTTATTGTCTAACACTAATGTTTTTTATTTTGTTTTTATAAATTACTACACATAGCTTTCATTTTTGCAATGAATGATTACATTAATCTCAAGGTAGCGATAAGCTTGCTTCTGGAATTAATCCAGAGCTACTTTTCTATTGCACGAGGACATCCCACATGTTTAACCTAAACAAGTATTAAGGAATTTAGGTAAATAAAGTACTTACACACAGTAACACCTGTAACTGTCGTGATTTTTCATTACGAGTACAAGAGTTTAGTTTAGTTTGAAACAGATTTCCTAAACTTTTTAATGTATTATTAACGCGACCTTCGGTAAAATGTTAAATTAAATATGCATGTACAGTTAGACTTTATTTTTAGTCAGCTAGCGAAACCGGTTTTGATTTACATAATGCTCAAAAGGCAATTTCTATTGCTGTTATGTACAACGTGACGTGTTTATCAACTTAATACTAATATCGTCATTAATGTACGTGTTTTTAATAAAGTAAAAATTACGTCTAAACATTTTGCAGGTTGGTTATTATTATTATAATAACATTTAAAAAACAATTGTCAACCAATTCCTTGCTTGCTAAATCAGAGGTGGGATGATAAGCCACACCATTGGAATAATCTGACAGGGAAGGCTACTTCGGTGGGTTAATCACAGGGAGGAACGTTAATCATAGTGGTTTAATCATCCAAAAAATGTTTATGTCAGCGGGTTATTCAGTGTAAGAAATTATATCAATGGGCTAATCAGAGGGAGGAACGTTAATCACAGTGGTCTAATCGGCCAAAAATGTTTACGCCAGCGGTTATTTAGTGTAAGAGAGTTATATCAATGGGTTAATCAGGAGAGAAACGTCAATCACAGTGGTTTAATCAGCTAAAAATGTTTACGTCAGCGGATTATTCAGTGAATAATTTTAATGAATTGAATGTTTGTTTGTAGTTTAAGCACAAAGCTACACAATGAACTATTTGTGCTCTGCCCACCATGGTAACGAAACCCGGTTTCTAGCGTTGTAACTCTGCAGACATACTGCTGTGCCACTGAGGTTCGTGAATCGAATGGAAAAAGAATGTTATCTTAGTCAGATGAAAAAGTTATTTTAATGGGTTAACCGTCCGAAGAAAATGACTTCAATGAGTTAACTATCTGAAGAAAACTAACTATGTGAGTAGTTTAACTTTCAGTGGTATATCCTTAAATATTTCTTCTTTTTTTTCTTCTCAAAACAAATTATTTATAATTTGAAGTGCGTAACAGGAAAATGGTGGAACGAAGAAGTGAAACAATATTAAATTACACATCTAATCGTTTACTCGCAATTATATATATTAATATAACATAACATTAAAGGACAACAAGAAATATTCTGGTCCACCTAGCCCATCTCATCCACTAAATGAAGCTAAACGCTAATAACCTTACAATCGGCCCTTATCGTTGAAATATTTATCAAGATTTCCCTAACTCCCTTTAATTAACTGCATGTATCCAATCTGAAGGCAATCAGTTCCAAAGGCCAGCCATCCTGTTAGAAAAATAAAGGTGTCTTAGCTAAATAATGACTCCTACTTTGCCAACATTTATATATATTTTCGTCATTAAATGTGAAACAAGATATGCATGGACATTCAATCCCTTTAACAATCATAAACACCTCAACCTCAAACAGGTCCCCTTTTACTCTTCCTTTTTCGAAAGAAAATAAGTTCAGAAATCTTAACCTAGTCTCATACGACAACATTCCTGTCCCAGGTATCATTATAGTAGCCCTCCTATGAACCATTTCCAATAATTCATTATCATTTCTATGGTAAGAAACCAAGAACTGAACACAGTATTCCAAATGTGACCTAACCAATGACTCATACAACAGAAACCCAAATCTATTCAACCTCATTGCTATTAGCTTTGATATCCTCAACTTGAACAGGCTGTAACTCACATTTTACCTATAAAGCCACTTCCCACACCTTTCTTTTTAGTACTATTGTTACGTATTACAATTTAGAACGATCTGAAACCGAGCTCAATGATAATTTAAATTTAGTAGTTAAATATATGTCGATATATTTACAATTTATATTGGCCAACATTGGCAACAACAACAAGATTGATACATACAGTTTTCTTTTTTAATACAAGTATGTTTTAATATACAAGCAACAATACAATTTACAATAACAGTTATTACAAATAGTTATTACAAACAATAATTTATATACAAAAGTTTTACAAACTTACAAGTAATATAAATGCTTCCTTCTAGTCTGGAACTCCCTTGATGTCTTATCGAGAGTTGAGGATGAGCGAGTTAATTTCGAGTTGACGTAGGTACAATTCACTTAATAGGGAGCTGGCTAGTTCTTATATCAACGAATTGGCCGTCACTTATAACGCCCTAACGGCTGAAAGGATAAGCATGTTTGACGACGGGGATTTGAGCCGGCGACCCGCAGATTGCGAATCGAGCGTCATATCCACTAGGCCATGCCAAGCCACCCTTAGCTGTACCTTTAGTAATAAAACCAATAACTGTCCAGTCCCAAATACACTTGCTAAAATAACAATCTATTCTTTAAACATATTGAAATAATACTTATCGTCTCCAGAGGAGCTCTCTAACTACAATTACAATTATTTCTTTGTCTCAGAGTTCAAATTTCCCATCCGTTATTCTCCACAGCTCCACCATATCTGATAAGTCACTATGCACATTACAAAGAGCTAGTTATAAAAGCAGGCCTCACTCTGGAGTTACAGTATTGGAATTTGTACATATAAAGTATTTTGTATTTCATTTATAAAATTATTCTGCTAAAGATTCTTTTATATATTTATATATACAGGGTCAGCACTTTATATTAAAACAATTTTGAGTATGCAATTTACCATCTCACATGACAACTACAGCCAATATAAAGTCGTATCAGAACTACGTTTGACATTGTTTGACGTTTCATAGGCAGTGTGATGTCACCGAAAATTGATCGTTCTTGAGAACGGTACGTAAAAATCCCTTTCCAGCACAAAATATTCATACATCCAGCTCATAAAGGTGTATTCAGGTCGGATATTTATAATTTCCAAGATGAAGGCATCCCATTTTATTTAATGGTTCTAGAAAGCAAAGGAATATAAAGCAACTAAGACCATCCTTAACAGTGCTAATCAATGTACGGCGTCTTGATGAACATCCATGAACAGAAAAGTTTGTGGCAAAAGCCGTCCACGTGCCATAAGTAACAGTATGCAACATAATAAAAAACAAAGTCAACAGAGTGTGGGTTCACTAAGATAAGGCTTCCATTCATATCCCCCATTCAACTGTCGCATATCTCAAACAGCTGCAGAATAAAACGAGAATTCATGGTATTCCATACGAAGACATTTCTGGCCAAGTTGCCTAGGTTTGTATGATCGGACTGTTGAAACGGACGTTGACAGACCGTAAGATAGATGGATTATGGAAATGTGGCAGAGAGGATTAGTGTGCTTTGGATATGACAGCTTTATCCCAGAGTTGAAACTATGCTGCAGGGCTATTAACAAGGTGCACACTTGTCGAATAAAGCAATGATGCGTAAACTCTTTTATGGCCTCAGCTCATGAACACGCGTTTTGTGTGTCCCCCCGCATCTCCTATAACCTATTTGTGCATATACTGTACATTTAATTTTCCCATATTAATTGTTGTTACCATATTACTTAAGCGTAGTAATGTTTGTTCAGTAGTTTTAAAATGTTTTCATTTTTAACGTTGTACTTTCAGATATAAGTTATGTGCTCCTACAGCTACAGCTGCGCGCCTCCTCGGGAGATGTGCCCCACAGTTTGTGCACCACAGGAATAGGGCATGACAAGACATTGCAACAAGAATTGTAACAACGTAGTGAAACTGGAGAATCGTTTTAATATAACGTAGTCAACTCTCTGTTCCTATGCACTCATACAGTTAACGTTTATTAATCAATGGAAAATCATACATCATTATTGATCAAAAATACTCGTAATCATACATAAAGTGACTAAACGCGAATTGTTGTATTAGTGTATATATTGGTGCATTTCTTTCGGTAAAGAAAATTAAATGATGAAATTATGTTTGATACTTTTTATCGTGCGAGAGCTCGAGAGCCAAATTATATGGAAAAAATCTAACTCGAAACATCGATTATCAACGACATATTCTAGAATTTGATATATGTTTTTCAAATGGAAATATCTCTGAAACTAGCGGAGTGATTTCCTCCCACTTCAAAAGCGTATGTGTCAAATTCACGATACATTACAAGATATTTGTAGGATTCAAGAATACAACAGTCCTTAATTTTGAACCATTAACTAAAGGGAGACAGTCGGCAGAACATCTATATCGTTTTTCTTGCAAACTACCATTGGTTTTATTTCTCTTCTTTTATTCTATCTTGCAATAATGCGATGTTGGTGTGTAAATGTGCGCAATATTGCTAGAAGCAAAGAACATTATCCAGAACAAGTTGTATTTTTAGTAGCTTCATTTAGGGATAACCTTGATATGTTGATTGAGAACGACGGAAAGTTTTTTTTTGTTTGTTTGTTTGTTTTTATTTCGTGCAAAGCTACACAAGGGCTATCTGCGCTAGCCGTCCCTAATTTAGTAGTGTAAGACCAGAGGAAAGACAGCTAGTCATCACCACCCACCGCCAACTCTTTTACCAACGAATAGTAGGATTGATCGTCACATTATAACGCCCGTACGGGTGAAAGGACGAGCATGTATGGCGGGACGGGGATTCGAACCAGCGACCCTCAGATTGCGAGTCGAGCGCCCTAACCACCTGGCCATGCCGGGCCTACGACGGAAAGAATATTGAACACATATTGTGGCAGTTTTTGAAACATCTGTTCTATGTCTAAACTTTCCTAGATAAAATTACCAGTTCGTTTCTGATGAAATTTAGTTACTCTGGAACAAATAGTTTTTAAGATAAAATCATTTCAGATATGAGAATTTCTTTATAATCAATCTAATTTCATAGCAATTGGTAAAATAATAATATAACACATTGAATTTTACTGCAGGGAATTATAGGAAGTTTGTTGGTTTGAAAAGCCATAATAAAGACCTCAAGACAATGATTGCCATTGGAGGATGGAATGAAGGATCTAGAAGGTAAAAATTACTTACTAATTAATACCTTAAAGGATGTCCATTAATTACTAAACGGTTATGTTTGACTTTAAGAAAACTTGCTGTTTACAGTATCATTTTTATTTTAAGAATGGTTTCAATTATTTATCTATAACGGTTTTATTCGACAAGTATGCGAAGCGTAAACTTTATAACAAGTAAGTCATTCCAAAAATCAAAACTTAAAACTCAAAACACGTTACGAATGCATTACCAGGTTTACCAAGTTGGTGGCAGATTCTTCTACAAGAGAAAAATTTATCCGTAGTGTCATTCGTTTTCTAAGACAACACAGGTTCGACGGGATAGAATTGGACTGGGAATATCCTGGCTCAAGAGATGGCAGCAGCAGTGATGATCGTGAAGGATATGCCCTTTTAATTAAAGTAAGAAACATTACGCTGACAGATATAAACTTTTGGATTTATTTCGTTTTATTTTAAATACTAAACTTTTAGCCTGTAGTTATTTCAAAAAAATATTATTTATAATTTCGAAAAGTGACTACACTTATTTTCATAAAAATTTAGCCTAAGAATTTCAGTTGTGTATCATATGGTGAACTATATTTTGTGTAGTTTTACGTTTAAATGGACATACTTCCCTCAAAATAAATAAGAACAAACAATGTTATTAATATATATATATAAACGACGAAAGCTATTTCTCAAAGAAAAAACAAAATAATTTTCGCGTTAAGAAAACACATTTATTAGGATTTTGTTTCTATAACAGTTTCTTTCAACTTATGTCGTATAAATAACTGGGAACTATCAGAAGATGTTTTTCCCCTTACATTAAAAAAAAGAAAATTGAATCTAAAAAATGGATATGTGAAATACTCTACCTCCTCTGTATTCTGTTTGTTTTAGCGCTAATGTACCTAGTGGGCCGTCTTATCCACCAAGGGGATTCACACAACTCATTTTAGCGTTGTATAAACATACCGCTGACCTACTAGGAGACTCCTCTGTATTTACCTCATTTGTTATGTAAAAGAAGACTTTCTTTCCTATGTTGTAGTAAGTTTGCATAGATAAAAGTTGTATGTTACAATGTGCCTGTTTGAATGCTTGTATAAAATTTGTTTTGTTCCTAGGAAGACGTACGAGTGCTAAGAAATATCTTGTTTTCATATTAACGTTTCAGTATAAATAACAGTGTCAGAGAATGAACCCAATGTTTCCTTCTATAACTGTTTCTGCCAATTGGATTTCGAATTTGTTTTTCTAACTTATTTAGCTTATGAGTTATGGGCTTATGGGCCATTTGTTATTTAATAAAGTCTAATTTGGGTAAGGACATAAATACTTAAAGTTGTATTCTCAACGGTATGTTCGTTTCTGTGTTCTATCCAGGAACTACGAGAAGCATTTGATGAACAACGTGGTTCCCGAAGCAAGCATAGATGGGTACTTTCTGTCGCAGTGCCTGCTGGGAAAGATTACATTGACAATGGTTATGATGTTCCAAAAATTTCTAAGTAGGTGTTATGAGATTATCTTGATTGTCACTCACAATATTAATATTGATCGTAATTTTATATTATTGTAAAAGATGGCTAGAATTGATTTTATATGTAAATGTTTATTATTGGAGTCCAATAGTACACTGAAGTCGTACACGGATGAGGCAAGTTGGAAACGGACAACAAAGGAAACACAAACATGACCAAACAATTGAAATCTTTATTAGCACTAATAATGTTACATATTTATCAAATTGGTAGGCTTCTTAAATTATGTTGTGATTATACTTGTTACTGGGGCAAAGAAGAAGGATTTTCAAATAAGCCTGCAAGGGACAAAGATCACAAGAATGATATTATACCGCACTTTGGAACACTTTCATTAACCACCCCCAAAAAAGCATACACCACGTATAATAGTTAAACGAACCGCCTAAATGTCATATTAGTGTAGCCTATATAATGTATAAAGTTTAGTATACTCTAAACCCTTATAGTGATGGCACACGACATTCGGCATGTAATGCTGTTTAAATACCAGAAGGGAAACAACGCCTCTGTAGCCACAAATAATATCAAAGAAGTTTATGGAAATGTTTTGAACGTTTGTAAGTATCAACGATGGTTCAGCAAATTTCGTTCAGGTGACTTTAGCCTTAAAAACTGTGATGGCATATTGTAATTGATATTGATGCTCTGAAGACGTTTGTTGAGTCTAACCCAAGGCACCACACTCGTGAAATGGTCCTGAAATTGCATGTCTCTCAACAATACGTAAACATCTAAGGAATGTGGGAAAACTCCATAAAGAAGGCGTTTGGGTGGATATCCTAGACAAAAAAAAAAAAAACACTTACGACCCCAAAACCTGGACTCCATCCGCAGAAGGTGATGCTTTGCATTTGGTGGGACATTAAAAATAGTTATTCATTTCGAACTCCTCAATCCACAGCGAAATGTCAATGCAAAGATCTATAGTCAGCAGTTGGAACGTTTAAATCAAGTCCATCATCAGAAACGCCCTTCACACGTCAATAGGAAAGGTGTTCTTCTCCACGACAATGCACGTCCACATGTGGTACGTTTGACGCAACA